TTATATTTATATAAAAAGACCAATAATAGCAGTATGTTATGCATCAATAGCAGCAACAAATTTTCCAGGTTCTGCAGTCATCTGAACAAAATTATAGACATTCAGCACACTCCATTAAAAACACAAAAACAAAAAAACAAAGAAAAGAATAATACCCAGAAAACAGCAATGTTCTGTTGCTGTTGTGGTACCCAGCACCATTTTTTTTTATTAGCATCTTAATCATCATCTGAAAAGAGAACATTTTAGAGTAACATCATTAAAAATAGCTCTGACAAAGCATGGTCACTACTACGTATCATAAAGCAGGTACAAGATATTTTACATTCACAGAGGTATGATATAGTACTGTCCTACATCTATAATACTAGAATCAGTTTTGGTTTGAAATTTACTTTGTTTGCAAATAAGATTGCTACCCCTGCTTTTTTCTGGGCTCCTGTCACATGGAGAATTGTTTTCCATCCCGTCACTTTCAGTCTATAGACTTCTTTTTGCACTAGGTGTGTTTCTTGTATACAACATATTATTGGATTTTACTTCTTATTCCATTCTGCCAGTCTATTTCTCTTGATTGGTGAGTTGAGGCCACTGACATTGATGGTTATAACTGATATGTACTGACTTATTATTGTCCTGTTATTGGCCTTTTGTTGACTCTTTTTACTTTTTCACCTTCTCCTTTCAGTTTCTTGCCTTGCCTATTTGATTTGCTCTGTTGGGCCTCATGGTGTTGTTACTTTCATTGTCTTTTTCTAGGATATTGTTTAGAATTGCTTGTAGTGCTGGTTTGGTATTCATGTAGTTTCTCAGGTGTTCTTTGTCGTGGAAGAATCTTATTTCCCCATCCATTTTGAAAGAGAGTTTTGCTGGATACATCAGTCTAGGTTGGAGGTTGTTCTCTTTTAGTACTTGAAATATCTCACTCCAGGCTCTCCTTGCCCTAAAGGTTTGTGTTGAAAAGTCTGCTGTGATTCTGATGGGCTTTCCTTTGTATGTGATTTGTTTCTTTTCTCTTACTGCTTGTAGTATTTTGTTCTTCTGTTGGGTTTCTGGGATCTTGATTATTGTATGTTGGGAGAAAGGATTGTGGTTGATTTGATGAGCTGTTTTCTCTGATGTTATGAAGATGAGAATGTCTGTGGGTCATTAGAGACACAGAAGCGAGGGCACAACTATATCAGGAAGATTTGGGGGATAACCCAGAGATTAAACCAAGGACAGTCCAAAAACAAAAATAAAAATGAGAAAACACTTAAGCAAGACACAAGGACAGACTTCCAGTTTACCAATGGCAAACAGTAGGGCAAATGAGGATGAAAGGGCTGATAGAGAACCACCAGGACAACCTGAACTCAAAGCACAAGAAGTAACAAAACAGATCAATCAGGCTCTAGGAAAATTCAAAACAGAAATAATTTCCCAGATAACCATAGAGATGGTGAACAAAATGAAAGTCGTGATTTGAGACTCTAGAAAAGAAACTGACAAAAAAATAGATGAACTCAGGACCACGATAGAAGCCATGCAGGCCCAGCATAAGAAAGGAATGGAAACAATAAACACCCAACATAGGAACAAAATGGAATCCATAAAACAGATTCAAACAGATATCCAGGAGATTAAACACTCCACCGAAAGTGTAAGCAACAGAATAAAAGAATGTGAAGATAGAATCTCAGATATAGAAGATAAGATTGCAGTCAGTGACCGTGAAAAGAGAGGTCTCTTAAAAACAGTAGGGGATCATGAGAAATCGATCCAACAACTCCTAGATGATGCAAAGAAGAATAATGTAAGACTGATAGGAATCCATGAAGTAGCTGGAGAAAATACAAATGACTTAAAAAAGCTGTTCACAGAATTAATGACAGAAAACTTCCCAAACAGAGGGGAAGAATTTGACATTTAGATAAGTGAGGCATATAGGACCCCAACTAGCCACGATAAAAAAAATCTACACCTAGACATATAATAATCATGTCTCTTTTTCAATACTAGAAGCCATTGATCATCACTGCTGAGATCTACAGGACTTGCAAAATGGGGATATTTAAGTTCTATCACTCCTTCTGCATTTGTTTACTGGAATTCTTCTATAAAGAGATACTTTCTTTCACCAACTATTTGGTTCACATTAAGTATGTTTTATATAGATAATGCAGGATAAATATTTCATTTTTTCTTTTTATTTATCAGTTTTCAAAACAACAGTTGATTCCATATCCTCCTCCAAAGGTGACCCATTAGATTTGTTTTTGCTTGTTGGTATACTTTCGTTACACACTATTTAACATGTTTCAATTCACTGTACTTACAACCCTTCTTTCTTTCTTTTTTTGTTTTTTGAGACAGGGTTTCACTATGTAGTTGAGACTGACTTGGAACTCACTATGTAGCCCAGGCTGGTCTTAAACTCACAGCGATCCTCCTGCCTCAGCCTCCCTTATTTCTATGGAGATTATCCCATCAAATGTATTTTGTTTCCCTCCATCCAATGGGCTCTTCAAAATTAAAATGTGTTCAAAATTTCAATTTTCTTAAGAATTTTGCACTATTTGTCAAAGTAAGAAGTGTTTCCTAAAGCTGGGGGTGTTGGCACAGGCCTGTAATCCCAGCACTTGGGAGGTTGGGAGGCTGAGGCAGGAGGATCACTGTAAGTTCGAGACCAGCCGGCTACACAGTGAGTTCCAGGTCAGTCTGCACAGTAAGACCCTG